CTCTTCTTTCATCTCATGTCAAAAGAAGTCTTGTAATAGTGGATGCAACATGCCAAAGTGATAGTCCTTCTGTGCTTTTTTATATCCTTACATAGCTTCCTAACAAACAAGCAAACACTTGATTCTCAGTGCAAAAGCTAAGATTAGTTTTCCACTTCTCAAGAGGCCCTAAAATTAGGAGATCAGGTTTACTGTTACGAGTGAGCATCAGTGCCCTGGAGAGATTTTCCAAGAGGTTGGGCAGATCCAGCCTTTTCCAGGTTTTGAAGGACATGACCCATGGACTGAAGCCTTCCTTCAGTTAATCTAGCTGTGTAACAACACAGCCTTTACAAGTTGCAAGAAGTTTTATAACACAGCATGAAGTCTTGCTGCAGAAAGAGTTATGTTGTGATTCACTGACCAATATAAATACCATGTGATTGGAATGAGACACTAATAAAAAAGAATCCCTCAGTATCTCTTGAAAACAACTGGTGTATGCTGATTAGACATTTGCAGTATTTGTGATTGTATTTTTGATTCCTTCAGAGCTTTCATATATCCAGATCTAACAATCCAGCTAAAAGGACAACTCATAACTCTAAGAAGTAATGGGCTAAAGTGACACAAGTAGGAGACAATAATTTTCTCACTCTACAAAAATATGTTAAATCCTGTGGAAAATAGCTGTTTACCAACCAGTTTCCATAAGTGTCAGCCCACATTCTGTTCTCATATGCATTTTATTTTATTATCTAGCATTTCAATATCACCAGAAATCTTGAACTCCCATATTGGGTGTAACAGAGACACCACCAGTAAAACCCACCAAGTCCTGCTCTTCCTTGCTTTCTTATGCATTGCCAAGTCTGAAGTGATAGCATGTCTTTTGAATGACATGTGAAGTAGATCATGACTGGCATCCTTGGATTCTTTGGTGAAAGTAATTGCAGTGCTCTGCCTAAATTCGTTTGGATAATTACATGGCTCTCATTTGAATTTAGCCTGTTAGCTTTTGCTAGAAGAGTACGTGTTCACTTCATCCCGCCAGCGTTTCAGCTTTTTCTCCCCTTTCAGCAGCTGCTGAATTTCAATGGCAGTTGAAATATCTATTTCTCTTTGGGGAACCAAGCATGCAGAGAATTGCAACATGGAAATCTATTATTTTAAAGTTGTGTCAAGCAGGATGCACCTTTATTTCTTTAAAATATGCATCAAAAGTGTGTTACCTTCATGAGTTTGTGTACCTTACACATTTGTAATAATATAGCTTTACCAGGACGGCTGCTTTCTGTATTTTCCACCAGTTTATGCGAATAAAATATTTATTCCCACCCTCTCCAAAATACTGAGAAAGAAGCTTATATTAACTTGAAAATAGCCTGTTTGTAAGTCAAAATCTTGCGGTTTTCTCCCTTCGCTTTGCCTTCCCATACAGGCTTTTCCCAGGCTGGTGATGATGCCCGGCGGGAGGACGGAGCGGGTCCTGCCCCGCGGCTCTCCTTTCGGCGCTGTTTCCCCGTCTCACCGCCAGGTGGCGGTGCCACCCGTTTGCGCCGCGCCTCTCGCAGCCGCGTGCTGCGGGTTCCCGGGCGGTCCCGCTCCGCTCCTTCAGAAACCCGCAGGCGGTACCGAGGCCGAAAGTACGCGCGGTCAGCCAAAAAGAGCACGGACTGCGATGCGCAAGGCCAGGACAACTGACGGCCTCGGTTCGGCTCCGCGAAGAACAGCTCGTTCCCGCGCCGGGGCCGTTCGCCGCCTGCGGTGCAGCCCGGGGCGAGGCCTTGGCACGCCGGGACAGAGAACCCCAGGCACTGAGCTGGGCGTTAAGGACATCGGTCCTGCTCCTGCCGGATCTGCTCTGGAGGTTTAAAATTACCGCAGCAATCAATTGTTATTAAAATACATTGCTTGACCGAAGCACGCTGTTGAATTTGAGGAGTGTAGCAGCATAAGCATCGACAGTTCCTCAGTATTGCAGCACCACGTCTATATTTAAATTTGAAAGCCCAAAAATATACTCTAAATTACTGAGATGTTTGCATTTCAAGGCTCTTTTTCTTTTTCCAGTTCATAGAATTGTAGAATCACAGAGTACCAGGTTGGAAGGGACCTCAAGGATCATCTAGTCCAACCTTTCAAGTAAAAACATAGTTTAAATGATACAGCCCAGCACCCTGTCACGCTGAGTCTTAAAACTGTCCCATGTAGGGGAATCCACCACTTCCCTTGGAAAATTATTCCAATGTCTAATTGTCCTCATGGTGAAAAAGTTTCTTCTGGAGTCGAATCAGAATCTTCCCAGGAGTAACCTGTATCCATTACCCCTTGTCTTTTCCACGTGACTCCTCATAAAAAGGGAGTCTCCATCTTCTTGGTAGCCACCCTCGGTGTACTGGTACATGGTAATAAGGCGTCCCCTAAACCTTCTGTTCTCAAGGCTGAACAAACCCAGTTTTCTCAGGCTTTCTTCGTACAGCAGGTCTTCCAGTCCTCTGATCATCTTCGTGGCCCTTCTCTGGACCCTTTCCAGCTTGTCTGCATCTTTTTTGTATAGCAGGGACCAAAACTGAAGGCAGTACTCAAGGTGTGGTCTGACTAGCGCTGAGTAGAGTGGGGTAATGACTTCTTTATCTCTGCTGGTGATGTCCTTGTTAATGCAACCCAGCATCCTGTGGGCTTTCTTTGCCACTGCAGCATACAGTTGACATATTCTCTGTGTTGGCAACAAAGAGAGAAGAAAGATGGTGCTGATCCCTGAGCCCTTAGATGAGAAACAGAGAGAAGAGGGGACTGGGACCGAGGAGAGAGCAGGATGGGGGAGCAGAAAGAGGCTACACAACTTCATTACCAAAATCTTTCCGATTCCTTGTCCTACAGAGTAGATAGGGATCCTATAAACTTCTGTAGGGCTTTGCCTATGACATGAATTTAAAGGGTATTCAAAGCATCTTTTGTGATAATTAGACCAGACGGACAGTTCCAAGTGTGCTTATCATAGACATATGAAAAACTAATGCAAGTGTTTCTGGCGATAGGTGTAGCTGTCCCACAGCAGGCTGCACTGAGGTGGTGACTGCTGTTTCTATTTAAAGTGCAAGAATAGGCAAGTTTACCTTCTTCCAGAGATGTGAATAATTAAAATAAAATAAAAATTAAAAAATGCAGTATTCCTGCACAGTACATTTATTAATGAAGTGCAAAATTGAACTAAAATAAGTCAGGCTATCATCACAGAACTCAGTAGGGACAGCAATAACTTTCAGCTGTCTCTAAAGGCATAATATCAGAACCAACCAGGCATACTGCTTCACTTCAGGGTTAAAGTTTCCTCACGGAATGAGTCATTGAATCATTGGCTAGCAAAACAGAAAACAGCTGCTCAACAGATAATGGGCAATGCTCCAGGTTATTTTTGTCACTATTTTAGCAAGCCATACATTCAGAATTGCATTTTTAAGTGCTTTCTAGAGGACAGCTTGACAGAAGAGCCAATGGTTAAATAAAGTATCATACCTCTCCAGCAATACTCAATTATTTGCTTTAATATTATTTTAATTGGCCATTAATGTAAGTTATCTTGAACCTTTGATCTACCTTTGAAAATTTCCTTACCTTGCAATGCAGCCTTCATGAGTCTGAAATAAAATAGCAACCTTAGAACTTTAATTATAGATATGTCTAGTAATCCTGTTCTGCTATCAACTCAATAGAGAAGTTAATTTCTGATAGCTATCAGAATTGAACGGCCTCTTTCTTCGTAAGTCCCTTAGCCACCAAAGATCCCATATAAACTGATGTGCCATTTTCGTGGTAATGGAAGATGTAAGGACAAGAGAGATACAGACCTCTGAACAGCGACAGCCAAACAAGAACTGAGGGAAATAAATGTTTTTTATCACCAGTGCATTCTGCTTTACATTACCAAGCCCAGCTAGAGGCACTCTATAGAAGACATGCTAAAACTTGGAAATGCTTTTTTTCTTTTCACTGCACTTTCCTCTTAGGTCTTCTTGACCAAACTATCAAACCTTGTAGGCATTATTGGCCCTGAGATCACAAAGCAGCATGGTTACACTACAGGCGGTGTTTGAGGTCATCAGTCCTGCTTCCCAGACACGTGGTAGATGGGATCATGGATTCAAGGTGTTAAGCCCCAGAAGATGAAGGTTACTGGGACAATGTGATAGCACTAAGGATTTGGAGTTGTCTTTACTATTCTGCTGCAGAAAAATAACTCTGCCCTCTCCCGGAAGCTGTGAAACATGAGCTTTCACTGTAATTCTCCCCGCAGTCTTGAGTCTGGCTCCCTGACATGCTGGAGAAGGCTCTGCTGTGTTTGTAGGTCACTAAGAATGCAGACTCAGCCCTTCAGGCACCTCCTTTTTGGGCAGGGATGGTTATGGTTCTCTCCTCCCACCAATAACATGGTTAACCATGCCTGTATTTCACTCAGGCAGAACTTCTGCAACAACGTCCAATGCACTTGATAATATTACAATTTACCTAACCTGAAATCTGCTCCATTCCAACTGTCAAGCTAATTAAATCCCTTCCCTCAGTGACTTTATATTTCAGTCAGAAGAAATACAGTTTGTATCTATTGCTGTGTATCCCTTGGAGAAAGAGAATCATTACACTTCCATTTAAATCAAAGAATCTTTCACATTATTTGCGCATATGATTTGTCTGCGCATTATTCATAATGTCAAACAGCACAATATTGCAATAATCAGACATGCATTAACATATTGGTTTTACTACTTATGCATGAAAGCTCTGCATGTGTTGAAGCCACTCAAGACCCCAGCATTATAAATAGTGCTCTATTGTTAGTGGGTAAAAGATGAAACAAGTCTCCCGGCAGTGGAGCATAGCACACCCTATTAAAAGTTAAGCTCTGCCTGTGCTAAAAGTGAAAGGTGACATCAACACATAAACTAGTCTGCTGGTAAGGCACATGGCTGGGAAGAGTTTGCTCTGACTCTGCAGCTTCCCCAAAGCAACAGGAGCAGCAACTTACCTTTCTGCCTCAGCAATGGCAGAAGCTGTTATAAGACACTGGGTGGAAACTCCCGTACGCTATCAAGAGCAGTTTGCTGTCCAAGAGCTGGAAGCACGCAAACTGGACCACTCTTTATATGCTTTGCCGGGGCCTTCTACAGCTGCACTGAGAAACAGAAGGCGTATCACAGAAAGTACAGCTGGGACGGGGAAGAGCGACCAGGAGGAGGAAAACACAAGCTTTCAGGTCTTGCTGGACGTTGTGCAGTTCCGCCCTGAAGATATCATTATTCAGACTTTCGAAGGCTGGCTCCTGATCAAAGCTCAGCACGGACCCAGGATGGACGAACACGGTTTCGTGTCCAGAAGCTTTACCAGACAGTACAAATTACCCAATGGAGTGGAGAACAAAGACTTGTCTGCACTTTTCTGCCACGATGGCATTTTGGTTGTTGAAATGAAGAACTCACTGGGAAAGAATTAGACCCTTGTCCATAGTTTATTGGTGAGATAAAATTATTCTTAATATAACAAAATAATATAATTCAAGCAATGCTGTAGAGTGTAGTAAGCATGAGGCTGTATTTATATCACAGTAAAGGAAAATCTTTGTATATATTTTTCAGAATGCCAAGTTTATTGTTTGATGTGAAATGTTAGACTGCTTCCCTCCAGCTACACATGTTGGAAAGCCAGGCTTTTTGAACAGCAGAAAATTTAGTCTAGTCACAGGAAGAGGAAAAAAAAGCACTATTTGATAACAAATTGCGAATAAAACACCTTTAAAAGTTCAGTAGGAGGAGTTGTCTAAGGAACAAGTGTCTCTCATACATACTCATAATCATTAAAGAAGCAATAGACAGGTTGTGAGTCCTATGGAAATTTAATTTATGTACCAAAACCTCTGTTTTCTAATTTTTGAGATTAAATTCTTCTTCCTTAGGCTCTGGAAAAGCACAAGAACTGAAGGATACTCTCAAGACAAAAAAAACCCTATTTCCACAGTTCAAGCTTGTATACAAAAAAACGCTTGAGAGATTACTTTTCAGAAGTGTGTTGCATGTTTGAAACTGTAAGAAAAAAGAATAATCACTGACTATATGTGCTTGAAAACACAGTAAGTAGAAATTATGCTTTCTGTCAAAGACAAATTAATTTGAAATAAAACATTCAAAGACATTTAGAAAATTGGTTTTGTTTAACATAGTCTGCTATCTATTAGCAACTTGAGAAAAAAGATATTGCTTACAAATATTCAAAAAGATCAAATTCTTCCTCGTGAAGCCGTGGTAATAAAAAGGCATTACTCTAGCACAGATGCCTTTATTCTTACGCCTTTTAGGTAGTCTTGTTGTTCAATCAGATCAGTATTTTATTCATCATGTTACTTGATGGTTTAGGCTGAGATCCCACAACTGAGTGTTCCAGAGCAAATTTTTCTGCCCATGTATTTTCTGCCGATGTATTTTCTGCCACTCTGTGTGAACATGGGCTCTGTATGAACATGGGCTCTACGTGAACCTAATTTTAAGTGCAGGGGTTCCTTAATACAAACACAGGTTTAATTTTTGTCCCAGTGTCTCTCATTTCATGAGAGTGTTAGAGATGAAAAAAATTCCACCCGCTATATCTAGCATCTGGTCTTTTCAACATAAATAAAAATAATGCTGTAAGTGAGTTTGCAAATACTCAAACATTTGAGGAGATCTGCAGCTGCAAGTCGACTGCCTCCTTTTATGTGTACTGGAGATGAGTATGACTGCTGTGCTATGAATAGTAAAGGAATGTGGATGGAAAGTGCCAAGTTAAATACAGACTCTTCACGATAGCAATCTGCTGTTTGGACAAATCAAAAACATATTCAAATGAAACTGAATAAAAACACAATTTTAAGAATATGAGAAAAATCTGATGAACAAACCCCAGGCTCTTGCTAGCTGAAGCCAAAGAGTTCCTTCAGTTTAAAATGAAAGCTCTAAGCTTGCACATCTGCACATGTCCGTTCATTAGAAAGATTTATGTCACGGTTGTTTAGACTTGAAGATATTTGAAGTAACAGATTTTACAGAAGTGAGTAGTCCAATTCTTGCATTTTACTTATTACTTGTGCTAAAACTCACAAGGAGTTTGTACAAGAAATGCAGAATAAGGTCTGGATTGTAAATTTCCATCATGAGCAATTATTTTATTTTTTGAATAGAGCAGAAGAACTTAATGTTTTCTAACAAACCAAACCAAATACAAACCATATGTCCCTACATTTCCACTCAACCCACATTTTTCCCTCATATTACCTGTGTTTAATTTGTGTATTGATAATACACAAATTAAATTTAATTGTTTATTGAAAATAAACGATCACGCTAGGAAATCAGGTCTAGAGTTTCAACACATTTAGGTCAAGAAGATTTGTCAGCCAGGAGTCTGATGGAAGATGTAACATGGATTTAAAAAAATGAATTCTAGATACAGGTCTGGATTTAAACTTTACACACCAACTTTATAAAAGCTCACAAGCTAGACCCACGGTTTACACATCACTTTATGGCACAACTGCTGGGACAGAGTTCAGGATCACCAGTTACTAATTTGCTTTGGTGATTGTTGTTTACAGAGGATTTTGTAAATGTGATCACTTAAAATCATAGGTTACTGCAAAAATTATTCTAGCTATGATTGCAGTGATGGTACTCATAGCCCTAGAGATGAAAAAGCAGTTCTAAAAAAACATAACTGATTTAATTATTTCAAATTAGATCATGATTAAACTACTGGAAACTTGGCAAGGAATTAGACCAGACAGCCACAATCGTATCGTCTGTTCTATATATGTAAATACCATGGTTACACACAGCCTTGCTTATGTACACTGGCCTGCCTCACAAAACTGGTTGGAAATTTTGGCATTTGTCTGTTCTATATCATAGGCCTCTTCATGAAACTCCGTGCCCAAGTCTGTACTTACTCACAACATCGTCACTCAGAAACCAATGGAACACACTGACCTAAACATGGCAGGGGTGTACCCAGACAAATTTACCTTCACTTGTACCCAGAGTTTTACAAAGCCCACATCTGTGCTCCTTGGTGAATGGGAACTTGCCCTGGTCCAGCAGCCCAGTGCTCGTGTAATGGCGACCACACTGGAGTATGGACCTGCCGCTGGCCTCCTGCATCTTGGCACTAGGAACAATGCAGACAAAACCGCTTCTCTCCTTATTAAGCGACAGTTTATCGAAAGTTCTTGGATGAATGTATTTACCAGAACAGCATCAAAGTACTTGGCAGAGTGTTTCCAAATTGTCTGGAAAGAGCTCTTTTCACATGTTGTATGTGATGTTTTACTTTTATAATCTAATTAGAACAGAATGTGAATGTCACAGAGAAAACTGCTAATATTGCTTGTGGACAGCAGAATGAGACATTTATCAACAGCAAAGGATTTCAGAACAGCTACAGCTTAAGACAGGTTTGCTGATGTGGTTAAATTAAAAAACCCTGATATTGGCTGCCTACAAAATCCTTGGCCAGAATAAGCGATAAATGCTCCTGCAGGCCTTGCAGAGCAAGTGATATGGAGCCTTCTCATTTCCCATCAGTGAAGGATAACCTTTGTAATTGATCACACTGCTCTTCCAAATGGTTAAAGACGATTTTATGCATGAATCTAAGCACTATGACAGACGCTTTCATAGAAGAAGAAAATGTCTCAAGATCACCACTAGTCTCCAAAAGCAAGGTAACAAACGTGTTTCCATGTGATCCCGGTGGGAAGAAAGCCCACAAATGCCTTGTACTTGTTGCCTTTTTATAGTTTCTGCTGCATCCAGGGCATCTGAGATCTCTCTATACAATCCGATACTTGTGCAGTGAACCAAGGCTGACACCCATCAGTCACTCAGTTACCACTTAGATACAGCCCTGGGCATTGGAAAAGAGCAAAGGAAACCCCTGTGGTACCACAGTGGTAACATTCTCTCTAACAGGGGTAGGTCTTGTGTTCCTCACTTAGTTCATAGCCAGGAATCAAAATGTGCTTCTTCATCTGAGTAACACTACAAGGTTTGGCTTTCAATGGGAGTAGGAATATTTCTGAAAATACTGGGTGCACCTTCTTTTATCTGAAAGAGGTGCTGACCTCTGTCTTGCCAACTATCAGAGACAATGGCTGGCCCCTGTCATCCAGAGGACAGCATCTCAATGGCCCTACACTGTGAATACAGGGAGCAAACCTAAGGACCTAGACCTGTATGTTACATAGGAGATATCTGAGCTGGCCCCACTCATGTTAACTCTGGAGCCAGAAGTACTGTCCCTGTGTGCCGTCTCAGGTCCAGAAAGCCCAGACTGTGCATTGCTGTGCTCAGGCTAAAAAATCATCCTGTATTACAGATACTTTCACAGATGGAGAGACAGAAGAAACATGACACTATAGCTCAGAACTCCCTGCCAATGTTCATGCCAGCATGGAGGTCTCAGCTTTCTGCACAATGGTGGGATGTAGCCTCACTGCAAATCCCATCAATCTCCTTAAAAAGTAACACTCTTTAGCGACATGGTAATACTGCTGATGCCAACATTTTCAAGGGAAAGTATATCTAGCAGCCACTTGCACAAGTAGAACTGATGCAAGTAAAGAATAATTTACAGTTCCGCTCGTGCTCCTTGGTGTGTTTACTGCACTTTGGGCTGACCCTGACCCCAGCAAGTACACCTCTTCTGCTGATGAAGCATGCTGCTCCTGAGCCCTGTGAGATAATCAGAAGCAGCAGCAGGCGGGTCTGTGCACAGAGAGAAGAAGGACCAGAGTGGATCTCAGCACATGGCCAGCAAGGAAGCCCACAAGAGGTGTCTCAGGCAGGGATGGGGAGCAGGAAAAGCACTCCAAATGATTCAGAATATACACACACACATATATATATACATAGTTGTGGTTTAACCCCATCTGGCAACTAAGTGCCACCCAGCCACTTGCTCACTCCCCCACAGTGGGATGTGGGAGAGAATCAGAAAGGTAAAAGTGAGAAAATTCATGGGTTAAGATAAAGATAGTTTACTAGGGAAAGCAAAAGCCACACACACAAGCAAAGCAAAACAAGGAATTTATTCACCACATCCCATGGGCAGGCAGGTGTTCAGCCATTCCAGGACAGCAGGGCTCCAGCACACATAACAGTTACTTGGGCATACAAAAAGAGTCTAGAGAACAGGTCTTGTGAGGAGTAGCTGAGGGAACTGGGGCTGTTTAGCCTGGACAAGAGGAGGCTGAGGGGAGACCTTATTGCTCTCTACAGCTACCTGAAAGGAGGTTGTAGTGAGGTGGGGGTCAGTCTCTTCTCCCAAGTAACAAGTGATAGGGCAAGATCAAATGGCCTCAAGTTGTGCCAGGGTAGGTTTAGATTGGACGTTAAAAAAAATTTCTTTGCTGAAAGGATGGTTAAGCATTGGACCAGGCTGTCCAGGGAAGTGGTGGAGTCACCATCCCTGGAGGTATTTAAAAGATGTGTAGATGTGGTGCTTATGGGCATGGTTTAGTGGTAGGCTTGTATGTTTGGCAGTGCTGGGTTAACGGGTGGACTCAATGAGCTTAAATGTCTTTTCCAACCTAAACGATTCTATGATTCTCAGAAATGCCATC